CCCCCCCCCCCCCCCCCCCCCCCCGCAAGGTGCCACAGGGTGCTTATTATAGCTGACCTGGCAGTGTTGAATCTGCTCTGGGCCCCGCTCCCAGGGACACGGCCCAAGCGGGCCACCGCTCTCGTACCAGAACTGCTGCCAGCACTCAGCAAGGAGGCCCCCAGCAAGGCTTCATCTGCTCCCCCAAAGCCCCCCTGTCTCAGAGAACGTGGCTGACCTGGCACTTAGCTTCGAACCATCACCATCAGCCTCCATTGCTTTCTGGCAACGAGCTTGATGCTCACGACTAGTGGTGTTTCTCTGTTGGGGTCTCCTGCCGTCTCTAGAAATTCGTCCTGTGACCAGCCTGTCACTGAGCACACATGCAGTTAATCTCATTTAAGCTGTGGCCCACATGCTGGGATGCGGCAGCACGCCTCCATGTTTGCCTGGCTTGGCGGCGATTTGTCCAATCATCCTCCCTTGTCTGCAGCTTCGTTTGTTTGCCGGCTCCCTCCTCTCACCTCGCCTCTCTAACTTCAAACTGCAGATCAGCTTTACATTATAAATATTCCACAGCTGGTCCTTATGCAGGTTTCCTGTGAGCCTCCTTGAAAAAGTCTAAAGGAGCAGGAGTCCACCTCCCCCCCCCTCAGATTAACTGCAGGTGAGAGTTTGGGTAATTGGAGCCGTGTTAGGGGATTATCTGCTTATGGCCTTGTTTGACTTCTTTCGTCTTTAATAACATTGCAAGTTTTGTTGCAAGATTAATAAGTTCACTGTGCAGCTTAGCAGTGCTGCAGTAAAAAAATTGAGTTTTACACACAAACAAGAAGGCCATTAATTTTGTGAATAATAGTGGACTGGAATGATGTTGGACCCTGTGTGGGATCGTGCTTCCCGTCATCCTCGGCCAGTTTACTGTCATCGTACATTGGCTGGAAGTCAGTTCATCGTTGAAGTTCCTTTCTGAGTGAATCCTTATGCTTTAACCTGGAGTATGTTACCATGATCCCATGCATGGATTACTAGCACATAATGAGAAAAAGGAGCTGGGTGGGGGGTGGGTGGTAAGTAATTCCAGAGTGCATGGGAACACGTGGTGGTGACCTTGTTCGAGCACAAAGCCCCGCGTCGAGATCACATAGAAGCGGGGATCAGGTCAGCAGCGGAACAATGTCACCAGAGACGAAAACCCAGGGAAAGTGTTTGACTGACCACAGCAAAGCCATCTTTAACTCGATTACTGTAGCCTGCGCAGAGCTTCACTTTCTGTGTTTACTACTTCTGATGATGTTTACGTGAATTTCTGCCTTTTCACGGTGATTATCGCAAAAACAACATGGTTTGGTGTGTCTTGTATTTAACGGCGTGTGTTCAGGTTAATACTGACCAGCAGAGAATAACCCAGACGACGGTCCTTTAGTCTTACTTATGGCTGTTAATTAAGCATTGCAAACAGTGCTGTATCAATGTGCATGTGCAGCACATCGGGGCAGTTAAGAGATGATTTTTGACTGTGTGTCACCCCAAGGGCCATCTGCCTGCCTTATTAGCTCACAGGGCCAGGTCTGTGATGCACAGGTCACCCCCCCCCCCCTCCACGGTATGGTGCTGTGCAGCACTGGCATGGGGGGCAGTTAATGCTCTCAGTGTCCCAGAAATTTAATAAGTACGGGGAAAAAATGTCAACTTCAGTTCCCAGGGATTCTTAAATATAGAGGGCCAGTCTGGGAATTTCCAGAAGGCCGTGGAAAACGGATTCTTCGTCGAACCACTGCGGAAATGTCCCGGGAGATTCCAGAATCTCGAAGTGGAACATGGCTGCGATCTCTTGGCCAAGGTTAAAAGGCTGCGTAATTCAAACAGGCTGGGAAGCTGTTTTTGGCTGGGGGTAATCTGGGCAGGTGCATGCAGTGACTGGTACGGGTGGGGCAGGGCAGGCGGCTCTCTCTGACGGCTGTTTTCTGATTTCCACCGAGTGCCGAGGTTTTGGAAAACATGGGAGATTTTGGGATGAATGTCAACGCAGCATGTTAAGGGCTGGAACGTGTAGCCTGACTTGGGCTTATGCTGGGCAACATACTCTGCTACAGAAAGTGACATCACCTCGATCTGCTTGGCGAGTTTGGCAGAAACTGCGAATGACGATTATGCGTTTTATTTGTAGTGTACTGCTGTGTTTCATTTCTGAACCACAAAGAAGTTTAACATTTCTTAGAACATGAGTGGCACTTTATTTCATGTGCTATTCAGATGCTGGGAGGGACTTTACTGTGAAGGTCAAAGTCTGTTCCATGAAGAGGAGACTCGGGTCTTGAGCAATGTTTAATTGACTTGTTGTAGGAGGTTGGAGTGTAGTTAAACATGCTTCTCCTGGGAGGTGCTGTCAGTCTTTGAGGGTTTGGTGAGTTGTGTGTTTGTTGGTTCCAGTGCTCATGTACATTGGAGGAGTTTTATGAGGGACATACTGCGTCTCTTTTCATGGGGTTTTGATCCCTGTCGACCTGTAGGGTTGTTTTAGTCCACAGAACATTCCGGAACTTGCATGGGAGCCTTTCTGGCAAATGGAAGTGTTTGACAAACAATTATTTGAAGTTGAACATGGTACCTAACATTCAAAAAACACATGAATGGTACAAGTCCTTAAAACAAATGGTCAATCTGCTTCTTTGTCTTCCAGCTGGACCCACAGACTGTACAGTCCAAGAACTGGCACATGGACGTCATAGAGATGAATGGGGTAAGTGGCCCCCTAAGGACACGAGTGGTACTGCAGTTGTGAGCACCAATTGATTGTAAAGAGACCCCATATAGGACCCCTTTTAGCAGGGGTGGGCAATCTTATCCAGAAAGGGCTGTTGGGTATGAGGGTTTTTGCTGTAACTCCCTAATTTATATTACTAATTAGAGGACTGAATGGCTGAAGAGTCCTCACACCTGGGTTTGAACAGCTGACCTAAAGGTTATCCCCAAAACCTGCATACACACTGGCTCTTTAAAGATGAGATTGCCCGCCCCTGACCAAAACTATGTATCATAGTTAGGGGGCAGCGTGTGGCTCAGTGGGCTAAGCCTGTGTGCCTGTGATCAGAAGGTCAGCAGTTCGAACCCAGCTTCGGCACATCGGCGGGTCCTTGAGCAAAGAGGTATAAAAGGAATTTCCCCACAGGGATCAATAAAATATCCATTATTATTATTATCATAGCATGGGACCTTCTGGAAGCAGTAATGGAGTCATCTTCATATGTCCTCGCTACCCTCGGAAATCATACCCAACCAATGGCTGCTTCTTTCAGATCAAAGTGGAGTTCTCCATGAAGTTTACAAGTCGTGACTTGAGTTTGAAACGGACGCCGTCCAAAAAGCAGAGTGGAGTGTTCGGTGTCAAAATTAGCGTGGTGACCAAGTAAGACCCCCGACCCCTGCCGAGGAGATCAATTCCTCGACAGCCCATTAGCTTTTCATTCCTCTGTCCACCTGGCGTGTCAGCAGTGTCCTGCTGGATCGCATGACGTTGCCTGTGTCGATCCTCAGACGCGAGCGCTCCAAGGTGCCTTACATCGTACGCCAGTGCATCGAGGAGGTGGAGAAGCGGGGCATCGACGAGGTTGGCATCTATAGGATCTCCGGGGTGGCCACCGATATCCAGGCCCTAAAGGCAGCCTTCGATACAAGTAAGAGAGGGACCTTGTGGGTACGGGAATGACTGTGTCTCACCCTAGAGAAACATGCAGATCCCTCCTCTAAACCTTGGTCTTCCCTGAACGATTCCCCGAGACACTGAGTCAATCCTCCCCTGTCGTCTCCCCAGATACCAAAGACATCTTAGTGATGCTCAGTGACATGGACATCAACGCCATCGCGGGGACACTGAAGCTGTACTTCCGGGAGCTTCCGGAGCCACTGCTCACAGACCGCCTGTACCCAGCCTTCATGGAGGGCATTGGTAAGCTGCAAACTCGCTGGGGGGGGGGGGGCTTGTGCTAGTCTGGGTGGCCAGTAACCCATTATCTCACCACCCCCACCCCCCACAGTGCTGTCGGACCCTGCTGCCAAGGAGAACTGCATGATGCACCTGCTGCGATCATTGCCTGACCCCAACCTTATAACCTTCCTCACCCTCCTGGAACACCTCAAGAGGTACGATTGGGGGGGCTTTTACCATGTGTGTGTCCCACCCCCTTGCATCCTGTCCCATGACTCCCGTTCCTGTCAGGTCCATGTTTACAAGCTTCCCAGTTTCCAAGCCCCCATATTTGCCTCTGATATTACAGCACAGAGCCTTGTGTGGAAACCTGGCCGGGATATGAGTGCGCCCCTTGCTGGCCATCCCAGGTTACACGCCTCTCCCCGGGCTTTGAACTCCCAGCTCCCTGTTTAGCAGCTGCTGTGTCTGGCTCCTTTCTGCTTCTCTGATCTCTTCCTTCTGTCCTTCATCGTGTGCAGCTCCAGAGTGGCTTCTTTTACTGGAAAATGTGAGCTGGGACAACAGGAGAAAGACTTTACCCCCCTCCCCATACCTTAGTTCTGCCTGGTTTCTCACATAGAGAAAGGGAATTTCCATAAAGGCCAGGGGGGTAGGGATGCTAACATTGTGTCCCACTCTAGGTTGATTGTCCAGTGAAGGAAATAAACAATGTTTTGGACACTCCACTGACTGACTTATATAATCTGTTGTTTCGATCTGCCAACCAGTACTCTAAAACGATGTCTTCAAAGGCCTGGCCCTTTCCTTCCTCTTCCATACTGGAAACACTGTCACCCTCTTCTATTGTGTCTCATTTACCTAAATGAAAACAAGCCACTAATGCATTTCCTAGCATCATTAGTAGCTTTGGAAATGTGGGCTTTTTATGTATGTAGTGTGAGATGAGTGTGCAGCGCTGACATCTGCTGGTCATGATGGAGAAGTGCGATGTACGTGAAAAATGAATTTGCAGTTAATCAAGTTTTAAACAAACAAAAAATTAAACTCTAATAACTAAAATTTCCCAATAAAATTGCTGTCAGGTCAGATTATATACTTGGCTTTAAAGGTACATCTAATTAGCAATAAAAAATAATTCTGGCCAGGCAGGATGATTGAATTCCCTGGGCGTGAGAGCATGTCCTCTTCCTGCATCTCACTGATCTCCCTGATGACCTTCAGTTTGCACCATGGCTAGTTCAGTTAAAGAAAGGCTCTCCACTACTTAAATAGCACCCCCCCCCCATGCAGGGTGGTTTGTTGTTTCTGGTTGCTCCCACCCACCCAACCAAAACCTGAATAAATAGTTAGCAAGTATATTCAGAAGATTGTACCTAGCTAGCAGAACACACTGCTTCAGCATCTCCTAAATAAGGAATGGGTTTATTTTATCAGTTCACATTTGCTACCATGCAGCTCTCACGGCAGACAGAGGACTCTTTGCTAGTTAAACTTGGCAGCCTGTGCCTGGGTGGTCTCTGATGTTGCTGTTAGGACCAGCGCTATTGCTGTTTTGACACCCGCATGCGCTGATAGACTCACACGGGGCTTCTTCATTGCTCTTAGTGCAGCTGGTGACCTGCTTAATGGTACGAGCCCTGCATCACATCCTGTCCAGCGTGACCAGCAGGCCAATCACCTTCTGGCAACCCAAAGCATCACAGTTACGCTGTTTCCGCGGCTCCACGTGATGTTTTTACCTTAACAGGGTTGCCGAGAAGGAGCCCGTCAACAAGATGTCCCTCCACAACCTGGCCACTGTCTTTGGCCCCACTCTGCTGAGACCCTCCGAGGAGAGCAGCAAGGGCCATGTCACGCTGGCCTCTGACATCTGGTCACAGGACGTCATGGCACAGGTAGGCTGGGGGGTGAAGGGATGGGGACTTACCCACACATGGGACTGGTCTGATTTACAATCCTGACACCTGTGTAGCAGTATGTAGGTTTGTGAAGCCACTTTTAGGCCAGCTGAGAAATGACCAAAGACCAAACATTTTACTTACTGAGCCAATGCTTTTATTATACATTTTCGAGAAAGCAGGGTCAGACAGTCCCTGAAGCCATAGGTGGTTATGGGTCTTACTCAGGAGCCCAATGGTGACATCACCTTGCCAAAAGCGGCCTTCCGATCACCGTCACAGCGTCTTAACCCACCCGGCCTCCCACCGGCCCAAGCATGGATCGGCCACATGAAAATCCATTTTATTACGTCTCTAAAACTGTGCTGTTATTAGTCAGCACGTATTACATTTAACTACTCCCAGTTTGGAGTGTTTTGTGATAATGTAATATAAAGTTCGTCTTAATGTGGCATAAAAACACATCAGGGATTATCAAATTATTAGCACCCCCCTCCCCCCCCCCCCCCCCCCCCCCACACACACACAGTGGCTGGTCCGGATGTGGGCGAGTCCCGGCACTGCAGCTAGAGGATCCAGCTGGACCCTGAGCAGTACTATAAACAGGAAGCGGGTTTGTGACCAGTGCTTAAATTTAGCCAAGGCCAACACAGACAGAAAAACAGGATTGGTAACCTAAAGAAGCAACAGAGGTTTATCGCGAGGGGAACCTGGAGTAAAATGATACCATGGACCGGCCAGCTGTCCCCAGGCTGCGGCCCAGCTCACTGCGGCTGACCTGATCTGTGTCCTGTGTCCGGCCATAAGAACCTGACCCTCCCACTTACCTGGCCCGCTTGCCAAATGTCGCTTTGACAACATGGTACCATGGCAATGGATTCAAGGAAATCGCAATTGTCTGTGAGCATGAGTGACGTAGCAGCGTGACTAGCGCGTCTACAGCCTGTAAGACTGGGCACTGTTCTTCTTAGTGGTGCTTTACTGCTGTTGTCCCGCCCCCAGGTCCAGGTTCTCCTGTACTACCTGCAGCACCCGCCCATCTCCTTCGCTGAGCTCAAGCGTAACACTCTCTACTTCTCCACGGATGTGTAGCCTGGATCTGGGAGCAGGCATCACTGCAGGACAGAGGCCAGCACCATCCCCACCTTTTTACTGTACAGTGCCAGCAAGAGCTGGTGGGGGGCAAAAAAAAATACACTGTGCTCCCTTTGCATTTCTTAGTCATGTTTTTGTGTAATTTTTGTGTTAAGCGTCAACCCAATCCATGGCTGGTGAAAGGCAAAGAGCGGCAATCTCACCCCATGGCCAGGCAGCGCCCCCCACCCCTGCCCTTGGGTCCATTCTTTGCCCCGGTGCAGGGCTCTGGGCATCAGAGCGAGACCTAGACTCTTCCCCTCGTCCACCTCTCTACCTGAGATCCCATTTCTCCCTCCCATTCCATCCATCCTCCCCAGCCAGTGCAGTGCCACGCCACCGTACATACTGGTGATACGTGGGCAGAACCACGGGGAACCCCTGCTGTGGTGGCGGCGCGGTGACGAGGCCGTGGGAACAAGTGCAACGCGGCGTGAACTCTGTGCGTGGTGCTTGTCTGTCCATTTAGTAATTCCAGAACGTTCTGTTACTTGTTCCCTCCCCAGAGACATTCCAGAAGTGGCATCTATATGTTTTATAAATATTTGTTCAGTGGTTTCCTTTCATCTCTTTTGATTTGTGCAAGTGAAGAGGGTACGTGTGCGTCTCCCAGGAGCGAGGAGGGGTGTGGCCTGAAACACGAAACTGCCCACTCTGCACCCAAAAGTGTGTGCAACCCCAGGAGTGCAGAGGGGTGCGGCCCCGCCCTGTTTGCACCCGAAAGCGTATGCGTGTCCGTTTGAGGAAGGCAGCCCTCTCCTGTGAGCTTAGGCCAAATCTGCCATATTTATTATAAATATATATATATATAAATATATTAAGTGTGCCTGTACAGTTCAGTACATTAATAGAATTACTCTGCGGAGTTCATTGTGACCCTGTAGTGATGTTTTAGTTGAGCGCTCATGGAAAGCCACCGTTGACTGACCTGTACCGTAATGATACCATGAACAAAATTCTGATGGGTGATTCGTTTAAAAAAAAAAAAAAGAAAAAAAAAAAGTCATGTATGAGGGGTAAACTGAATAGAAATGAGGGAATGTGGCAAGTTTCATTTTAAGACACTCCATTGCAAGCCAATTCTGCGTATGACAGCTTTCTAGGTCACCTTGCGGACCATTTATATACCTACCCTCACTGCATGTCAAGCTTGTCAGTGGTTGGCTGTATGACAGAGACAGAGGTCAGACATCGGTTTTCCTGCTCTGGCCACAGGGATTTCTGTAGAGATATACAGACTCAGCCCCCCTGCTGTCAAGCCTACAACATATCTTAAAATACGCACTGTTAGAGGAGTACTATTTGATATTTTTAATATGATTAAAGAAAATCGAAACCATGTATTTTACTTCCATTCGGGAGATACTGAGTATACTGTATCAACGATAAGGTAAATGTCAGTGTGAAATGTTTTTTAGGAAAATAAAAGTGTACTGAAGAGCCTGTCCTTTCGTTTGTTTCTGTGTGAAGTTGCTGCTGTGTCCACCTGCTGTATGGGTCAGTAAAGACATATCACTTAGAATCACAAGCATATTCAGAATCCGCACACAGACTGTCCAGTATTCAGCTTAATCTCACTTGCATTCAGACCAGTATAGAAAGCATGACAAAAAGCACTTGCCTTGCAACTCAGTTTATTACAATAAATTAGTCATTTATGATTTTTACATCTAACAGCACACCACTTTTCACATCTGTTACTACATATGCGAAACATCCCGGCCGCTCCCATACAATAAGAGTTCCTGGTCCTTTCTGGTTTGTGGATTAAATCCTGACATGTTCAGCTGCTGTTCAGTAACGTTATGCAGCATCAGTGAGTGTCCCTATGGCCTTGGAAGGAGGCTGCTGGTCAAGACCTGGTGACGCTCATCGCAGGTAATACTCGATAGCAGCGGAGAAGGCGGCAAACCCTCCACATCCCAGGATACCTGCTTTCGCACCAGCTGTGGGTGAAACAAAAGGGTTCATCTGACCCAGTGTGACGTTTATTGGAGCAGTGAAGACAGCCGTGCTTAATGTGCGGATCAGGAAGAGCTCCCCAGCAGACGGTCACTGCATGAATGTCCTCGGTAAAAGCGCATCTGCTGTCACATCCATGGTATTTTAAAATGTTAATGATGCTGCAAGCCCTCTGGCCCTGATACTCTCATAGAGGAAACAAAATCAACTGAGAAAACTCTAGTGTTTTTTTTTTTTTTTTTGAGAGGGCAGAGGCAGGTAGTCCCTGGGGGAATTGGGGGGGGGGGGGCTTGGGTTAACTCTGGGATTTGAGCCGATGACCTTGCAATCAGAGGCACAGCATCCTAACCCTCTGGGCCACACACTGCCCCCCCCCAAGTCAAACATTACAGAATCGCTGAGCGTAAAGCATGGCAGCTGCATGGTGACGTACCGCGGAATCCGATGGCCCCTCCGGTGACACAGCCGCTGTACACTGCGTTCTTCCAGTCAGACTTCCCTCTGTGCTGGTAAAGAAACCATCAAACACTAGCTGTTACCCCAGAGATGGGCGATGGCAGCATGTACTACACTTTTTGCCCAACGGGAGCCGCCCCAGTTCGTTATTTTAAAACCACGGTGGTCACGAGTGCCTTCTCTGGGGCTGATGGCACCTTCATGGTTTGTAGCACATGACATTCCTTGGAAGATAAGTAGATCACTGCTTTTCTGACTTGGTCCTGCGGGACCCCTGCTGGTCTTCCAAGCAAACTTTTATTTAGGGTTTATTGAGCTGTTTTATAAAACCGATTTAACTTCTTCCAACTTAAACTTGCAATTAACTAACAATGGATCCATCCATCCACCCTCTAACCACTTATCCTAATCAGGGGGGGTTTGGAGCCTCCCCCCAGACAGCAGTGGGCAGCACAAGGCTGGGGTCACCCTGGATCAGATGCCAGGTCATCACAGGAAACTTACAGACACTCTCAATCATCCTGTATGGGCAATTTAGAGACACCAGTCAGCAAAACAGCCTGTCTTTGGGTCGCAGATGCAGATTCCACACACACAGGGCATAGCTGGGATTCAAAGCCCCAACTCCAGAGGTGCAAGCAGTGCCCCCACTGAGCCACCATGCCGACTCACCTGAGTTATCGGAGTAACTAAATAAGCATCATTAAAGGAAAAGAACCCACTGCTTTGAAGTTTCTGATCTCCCAAAGTAGTGTAGAAAATAAAATGGAGAAAAACTGAACATCGATGGTCTTTACTTACTGATTCAATCAAACACTCCGTACAGGAGAACATCGCCCCCACGATGGCAAAATTCTTTGCGTAGGACATCCCTCTTTGCCCCATGTCTCTCAGCACTTCCCTGGCGGTTGGTGTCCTCATAGGGTCTTTGGGGTCAAACCCAACGTTGGTGTCAATACCTGCCGTAAAAACTCCAAACGCTCCACCTAGAACAAATCCTAGAAGAGAAAAACTGGCTGACATACTATCAGAGTAAAACAAGACCTGAACCTATATTCAAAATATCATACTAACTATCCTAGATATGGCACAGGAGGTAATGCTATCGTTTGGCAACTGGAGGATTGCAGGTTCGAGCCCTGGCTCCTCCTGTCCCCATGAAAGTGTCCTTGAGCAAGACACTGAGCCCCAAATTGCTCCCGGTGTGCAGGTTGGCGCCTTGCATGGCAGCCTCCACCACCGGTGTATGAATGCGAGTGTGGATGGGTGAATGTGAGGCATGAGTTGTAAAGCGCTTTGAGTACTCATTAGAGTAGAAAAGCGCTATATAAATGCAGTCCATTTACCATTATTACAACCGTAGTTTTCAAATATGTTTTGATCGACTGTTGGAGAATATGGGACTATGGATCTAAATATAAATCAAACTATTAAGCGGTACAATCCACTGGTCTGCGCTAAATACGTGAACTATACTAGTTTGTGCTTTCAAACCACCGACTAATTCAGAAGTAAACGGACTGCCCTTTAATTCACCGCCAAGAGCATGTTTACATATTTACCACATATTAAATTGCAGATGTACAGTGTAAACCCACATGCGTTCTTCCGTACCGCAAGACCCTGGGAGCAAAACTCGGGCTGATGTTCGCTCACTACACATGTGGCAATGAAACCGATGCTTGGTAGATACCTCCAACGCAGGCCAAAACGGCTTTGAAAGCACAGCTCTCCATGCCCCGCTCGATCATCTTCTGCTCGTCCGTCTTGTGGGGGTTCGGCAGCCCCCCCATGATGGAAGGATTCAGATCCTTTATTTGTCTCTTATCGCCGATCAGATGATCCAAGATAATACTGTACTGGTAGTATCCACCGTCGGGACCCGATCCCGCCGCGGTAGCGTTTGAACCGCCCGGCACTGAGCCATTACCTGAGTTGGTGGACGCCGCCATGATGGGGTCATACCGAGAAGATCGTAAATGTAGAAACTTTCACGGATCCCACTTTCGCAACGCCATGGATAAAAAGAAAAGCGGTACTTTATTGGGCTGTTGTTGAATAATTTAAATAAAACTATTTTTTTCTCTCGATAAACTTGAGTTATAAAATGCGACACTAAGATGAAAAGATTCGACAGTTTTTAGAATCCGGGAAATATTGTGCACTCCTCATAATTACCACGAGATGCCACTAGATATCCTTTTTTGGAAGTTACGGCATATATCTAGGTGAATTCCAACATGGAAAAATATTCTTTTTCCCTATGAAAAGAAGGGTTATACAGTGTGACGGTGTGTGGCTCTGTGGATCAGAACTCGGCGCCTGTGTTCAGAAGGTCACCTTTCCAATGCTCTGATCACATCATCATATAACTGCTGGGTCCTTTACCCCAGTGTTTCCCAACCCGGTCCTCGGGGGAACCCCAACGGTCCACGTTTTTGTTCTGTCCCTGCTCCCTGCCAGACAGTCCACATTTTTGCTCTCTACCAGGACCTAGGAGAGAGCAAAAACCTGAACAGTCGTGTGGTCCCCAAGGACCGGATTGGGAAACACTGTTGCCCTAACCCCAGCTTTGCTATATCCTGTGTATGTGCATGTGTCCAATAAGAGCAGGTTGGGATATTTGATTACTAAATATTGGCTATGTGCATGGCGAATAAAGCATCATCATAAACACTTTTGTGTGTCTGTTATCAAAAGGCTATTGCCTATACAGTATCAAGGCTATTCGAATCACCATCCTCAAGGTCTGAGCACTGCTAATTTTCCAGCCTTTCTTTACCTGCGAGCCAGATGTGAAGCCTCCAGTCAATCAGAGTCAGTAATTATTAAACTAACTACCTGGATGAACTGAAAACAAGGCCTGGAGTTGGACTCGAGGTACAGATTTGAAGAGCCCTGGATTATATAATATGAGCAATAACATTGATTGTAGTATTTTCAAGTTTCATGGAACACTGAGAAATTCTTATTCCACAGTGGTAGGAAAGGGGATGGGTGCATGGGGGACAGGAGAAAGACCAGTGCAATCCAAGACAAGATAAGAATGAGTGAACAGTAAGCAATGAAGATGTGTGGTGGAAATAAGGATGCAAAGTGGCAACAGAATAGTAAAATAAATATTACAAAAGCACAAAGTGGAATATAGCAGAGGTAGAAATTTCAGGTCCAGAAAGTAAAAATCCAGACCATGATTTTGTTCCAACCAACTAGTAAATACACTGGGTAAACTGGTTGATTGGAGCAAAATTTTGATCTGGATTTGTTCTTTCTAGAGCTATGCTGGTGCAGGTCACCAGTGACCTGATGGCTTTGGGAACAAAACTGCCTCTAAAACGAGTTATGATACACCAGTAGTGCTTTCCAGAGGACAGGTGTGTGGAGGAGTAAGATGGGTGGCTAACATCCCTGATGATGGGCTCGGCCCTGTTCTGACAGAGGGATCCTGTAGTTGGTATAATACTGCGCTAAAATATGGCCAAAATAAACAAAAAACTACAGCAGTTAGGTGACGTTCGGCCATAAAAATGTCGGCTATGACGCAGTAAGTAAACTACACATCCCAGAATGTCACACGGACACTGCAGTCGCGAGCCGTGCCTCGCGCGCACCATCTGGCGGAATAGCGCGAATCTCAGTCAGAGCGGGTTCTCACCGCACATCGGCGACCGCGAACAGGTGAGGCGGGGGCGGCTGCTTGCTTAATACCTGGACTTTCAGTTGTTTATTAAATTACGCCTTGTGTTGACTGTGGTTGGGGTGATTTCTTCAGGTTAAGCCGACTGTTAGCTCGTCATACCCGTACTGTGCCGTGTTAGCCGATAGCTTAGTTTAGTTCGGCTCGTGACGGCTGCAGTGTCGTTAGATATTGATAAATATGTCGCGTTTTTTTTTATGAACACCAACTTCATATACATAAATGATCAGGACAGCAGGCATAGTATTTATTACATTTTCACTAAAAGTACATCAGTTCCGAGTTCCGCTCACCGGATGTCCAGCCACTCACATTTTGCGAAAATACTGCAGTGTGGGTCTCCTTAATTCTCATGTCATCACATCGGTAGAAGTGGGGCATCCCTGCTGTAATCTGCCACACACTCCTTCTTTCTCGGAATTTACGCTGCTGCCGGGGTCTAAATTTTACGCCACAGCTACTGGGCATGCTCTTTTTTCCAAGTTGAGAGGATGACAGTATGTGCGCATTTGGCGGGGGTCATGCATAAACGCAGACTTGTGGAGTTTGCGGATGGTCGGACGTCCCTCATGGAAAATTAACAGCGGCGTGTAAAGGGAGAAGGATCAGGGTTATCCTGCCGGTGCACTCTGTCATAATGTTTCTACTTTACTGGGATCCGATGGACGATGTGCTTTTCCCACATGGCCAGTTATGGGGTGCAGTGCGGGCGAGGTAATGCGGTACATTTGAGCGATTTTCTCCATCTCTTGCAGCCTGACCTGCTTTTTCGTGTCATTTTTTAAATTGTATATGTACAACCGGTGTTGGTGCGCTGTCGGATGGGTGTGATCGCTCAGTTTTAATCCGCATCTGATTAGTTGCACAATAACAATTTAAATATTTTTACCATTTTAAATAAAAATTAACGATTTTCCAAGTGTGTTTTGTATGGTAAACGAACAGCCTGGTGTGTTTTGTTTGTTGTGAGAAAATTGCCATGTCCTTATTGCAATTTTGTAAGATGTTTAATTAAGATGTCCTTTAAACGTTGGTTAAAAGTTTGTTTTCGCTCTGTGAACATATTTCCCTTTCCTTCAGTATTAACCGTATTTATGCACAATTAAAAAGGTTTCCTTGTAGTAGCTACTACTATTTTGACTTTTGGGGGTCAAAATGAAACAACTTAATAACTGAGCAAACAATAAATAATGTACTAAGAACGGTTTGACTTTTACATTAAATAAAATTTAAGTTTTACTACATTTATTATAATTACAAGCTGCTACTGCTAATTATCCTGATGCTCATGAGTCTACAAGAAATGTATAATATTTAGTCATTAACAAAAATAGTGGTGAAATATATTCTTTAACAGTAGGCCTTACTTTGGTTTTCATGAGCAAAAGCTGTAAGGCAAAAATCTCTCTCTTCCAAGTTAAATAAAAGCTTTTGTGGGTGACTGCAGTCTGACTTTCTCATAATTTGTCATCCAAGAAATGGAAATACCAAGTGTTTGTCACTGGCACAAGGTGCTGAATTCCCTTTGCAGAACGTGGCATTTTGCAACGAGGACGTGTTACCAGGGACTGACTTTCAGAGGCTTTCAGTCACATTGGTTGTGTTATGTAAACAAAAACCTGGCCTTATAATCTATCAGCAGTTCAGTTGTAAAATCTTATCCACCATCTCCTTTAGTACCAACTTAATGTATGCAAAGATATAAAAGCATTGTAGTTATGCAATTAAGAATCCATTAGCTGCTTAAATGAAGTGGTCTTTGTTTTGTAATAATTGGCACTCAAAACAAGCATCTGAGTGTTTACCTTTCACTTGTGCTTGTTGTACGGTTGTCTGACACATAGTGACCTCCTGCCGTAGGTCTTATAAGCACTGGCTTATACATTACGCTTTCTAGTCACATCTCCTACTGCTGAGCTAAATTTTAAGCCAAATGCTGAGGAAATAGGTCCCTATAAATAGCCAGCAAGGGGACGAGTCATGGTGGGGGAGGAGGTGTGTAAGAGTGGGAGATATCTCTGTGACACAGACAAGTCTGCCTGCCCATAGCACACTGTCCCCTATAGACTGGATGTAAAGCTTCATCCACAGTGTGCTCTGCAGAATTTAGGATATTATGCATAATGGTACAGGCACAGGAATGTGAATGTCTAATGGTTGTAAAGTTTGGCTATTATGCAATACAAATTGAATCACTCTGTGTAGCACCACATTATCAACTTGTTCATTGTGTTTGAGAGTATTGATTTATGAAGCTGAATGAGAATTGTAGGTAAGGACCTCATTTTTTACCTGTGGTTTCAGAACCCAAGTGCCCAGAGTAATATTACTCTAGGGCTTCCTTTTCCATTAATATGCAAAAGAATCTGTGTGTGTGTGTGTATGTGTGTGTGTACGTGGTGTGTGTCTGTGAAAGGGAGGGACTTAGCTGTAGAAATCCTGGGTGATTCTATGCGATTCCCTGCATGACGATGCGTAACGTAGAGAACTAGCATAAAAGAGTGGTGTTACCTTTCCCCTGATGTATCTGGAGTGTGTTCTCCACCCAACCCAAGTGAGGCATCACTGGAATTCATTTCACTAAAGAGTGCCACGTGTCCTACATCACCACGGCAGTCCTATCTGCATAGCATTTAATCTTGGATTTTTAGCCTGTGTCTGATAAATATGTAATCAAGAGCTTGTTTTTACTGTTTTAATAATGTGGTTTGTAATCAAATGACAAATTAAGAAATAGCCTTGGTACTAAGGGACAAACATTGTAGTTTTGTGGCTTGCAGTGGCTTAGTGGTCCACAGAGATGAATGATATTTGACAGACGTGTGTTTTTATTTGCAAACTTTTATTCCAGGATGGTAAAGCAGCTCATTATGTCCACCTAGCTGTGTGGTGCCAAAATGCTTGCCACACACCTAGTGCAGGGCAGGTTGCCAGTTAGTTATACGGGGGCATGATTATGTGTCTCATCTGAGAGAATAATACGAGGAATTCTAGCCATGGCAACCAGGGATATTACCCTTATTCTGTCCAGTAATTGCCACCACTTCTTTATAGTCCTTACTGAATCAGGACTTTGGTTTAAACACCTCATTCAGAAAAAAACACCATGTGATTAACTGGAGTGTGGCCACACTGTTGGGCTCTGGACGTGTGACTGAGAGTGTTGTGTGAGCCAGACAGAATGCAGGTTAGTAAGGAGAGCATCAGGTTGGAGATGTGGGATACTTGATGCCACAACTGATGCCAAAGCCCTTTGGGACATATGCTACCTAGTAATGGAGATGACATCAGTACAACAGAAACACAAGCAGCATGTAATTCAGGAAGCACAGCAGGTGAGCTACTGTGTATACTGAGAATCCCACAGAGAGCCATGGTCTTCTACTTGTTGCTCACAGTGGAGCAGAAACCCTATAATTGCTAAGGCCCTGTGCTAGCCAAGAGCATTATAGAGCAGGCAGCCGTTGAGCCAAGGTGTCACACCTTATTCTATGTTCTAACAATTTGGAAAAAAGTCAGAACACACCTTTATGCTCTTTGCTTGGTTGAGATTTGGTTACGCTCTCTTTTTTTTTAGTAATTCAGTGCCAAGACATCTATTCAGTGTCCAGTGGAATGTTCAGGAGTAGGTCCTCTTTGGTTTGACCTACCTTGGCCATCCATCATTCTGTGTCTCTACCTGAATCCTTCACATGCTTCTCAGTGGCAGTGTTGTTACAGAGCTCACACAACATGAGTGAGTCTGCTTCCCTTATGCCCCGGGTCGAAGTCCTGTTGGTTCCCATTAGTTGGAAACAATAGTCATTGGCTTTGTAGATAACTGATCTTATATGTCTTTATATGCCATACTGGTTATAGAGGTGCGCTGTATGGTGCTATATTGTTATCAGGAAATTTACTGTAAACTTTGAAATTAAGTGATTTAGACTTTGTCTTACATCGGTGACATTTGCTTTCTTGGGTGCAGCACAAAACAGTTATTGTATACTCTGTTAATACTGATGAGGATCTGATTATACAGAGTTGCTAGATTTTAAGAGATAAGTGAGTGTAATATGGTAGAGTCTACAAGAGTAGCAGACAAACACCTGTCCTGAATGTAAACAAGCATAGAAGGGAATTTGCAATGGAATATGTATGGAAGCTCTGCTTTTATATACCCAGCATGCAATTGGAAAGTCACATGGTGTACCAGAGAAAGCTTACAAAATACAGTTTGCTAAATTGTCTGCCGTTATCTCAATGACTTCAGCTGCTTGAGTTGAAATTAATTGCACTGCGCTGCAAGAGAAGCGTTAGATACTTTTAAACAGGCAAACACTGACATTAAACATTAGACATTATTTCATGATGTTTGAATATAGAATATTAAAATTTCCCTCTAAGCAGTTCTCATAAATGAAAAAGGTTGCAATTAAAGGCTTTCACACAACAGTAGGTCATATTGTCGTTTGTATGTGTCACAATAATTCTGCTTCTTTTAAGAAAAACTAGTTTAAGGATTTCTTTAAACGAACCACCTGGGTTTGGTAAATATGCCAGTAACTGTTTGTTCATAACCAATCAAGAGTCATTCAGCTGTGACAGTTCTATTTTCCACCTGCCAAATGTAGAACCAACACCCATGAACTTCAAATAACCGTTGTGAGAGCACCTGAGTCCAGTATCCACAAAGGGAAGTATGTTTTTACAGCTCTGTGAGTTCAACTAGAAAGAACATTGTGCACTTAAAGGCGCTTTAATTCCATATGGCCTTCTGGGGCATCTGTTGGGAGTAACAAGTAACATGTAGAACCTGGTCTGTTCCTGTGGAAGTCAGGTAACATCAGATGTGAGCAGCTTATCTTTAGACATCACATGGCTTGCCGTGTTCACAAGAAAAAGTATCCACTTCCATCTGACTTTGGGAAGGTGGGTAATGTTATTCAGATAAACTTTTTATCTAGTAACAGGAAATCAAGCCTCTTGAGAATGTTTCTGA